GATAAAACCAAGGCACGTAGGGAAACGTCCCAGTTTTATTTTTTTAAGCGAGTTAAACAAACCATAATGTTAATATTAAAAAAAACCTTGTGAGATTTGGACCAGAAAGAGTTAATCGCAGAGTCGCGATCGGGTTCCTAGAGGGGACGGAAGCGGGAGGCGAATCCTTCGTGGGCCGCGAACCATAGAGAGGAGAGGAAAAGGAAGGACAGAGAGGAAAGAGCTGCCCTCAGACTTTCCTTACGTTCCCATCAGGAGGGGGAAATCAGTTCTGTTAATTGCTTTGGTGCAAGGAGGGATTCTGGTGGGCGAGTTAAATGGGGTGGGAATGAGGGCAGGATAATAATACAAGGAGTTGCAGATATTGGTGGCTGGAGATGGCAAAGGGGACTGTCCTTCCAGAACGCTAAATTTCTGCATTATTTTTATATATACAAGAGAGGGTGCAATGTTTTTGCCCTGCAACCTGCGTGCATGCAAAAGATGCTCTCTTGCAGGTAGATTCCTGTCCCCGGGGAGTCCCCTCCCTTGCTTGCAGACTCCCTTGTTTGCAACGTGGGGAAAAAGAGGGTGAGGGCAGAGCTTGACTTTTCCCCATCAGAAACGGAAGCCTGGGCTGCATGGCTGGGTGGTAAAAAGACTGGGGTCAACTGCTGCATGTAAGAGGCTGGATTTTATTTTAAAATAGTGCAGTTGGAGCCCAAAATGCAGAGGAGGGAAAAAATGTTCAGTAGGAAATACAGTGAGCGAGCGAGCGAAAACATTAAATAGGTAATTATGCGAGGTGAAGCTTCTTAGATGGAGATAGCTGTGGGTGGCATATGAATTGAATAAATAAATAAATAGTAGTCTGCCAGACACTTGTGAGGAAAGGGTGAGCCCCCCCTCCAAGGGCAGCCGTGAAAATTTGGGGACTTTAATATAAATATATAATTTTGAAACTACCCACGAGGTCTTGGTACACAGCCTGAGGAAGATGAACTATCATCGAAAGCTCGCTTTATACCGGTATTTTGTTTTATTTTCTTAATGGTCCGATAAAAATATCCCCCTATTCCCGTTGTTTTATTTTCTTAATGGTCCAATAAAAATATCCCCCTATTCCCACATTTGTAGTGTTTTGAGGACCATACGGCCTTGTCCTGACCCTCAGCCATCCCAAACCCCGATCCTGTTGACACAGGCTGCAAAGAAAACTAGCAGCAATTTTAACTGTTACAAAATTCTGGGGGTTTTTTATTTGTTTTTTTGTTTGTTTTTTTGCTTTTGTTTTTGCTCCGTCTGCCAAGACCAGGAAGGACGTAAATGTCAGGAAAGGCCAACTCTGAGGTAAAACAGTAAAAAGGCAACATCATGGGGGAAAACCCACTTTGGTTGGTTGTGTAAGTGGTACGCTTTAATCCAAGCTTGCTCAAGGAAGCATCTGGGCCTTCCTTGCAGAAGTATCAGCCCTGTTCATTTCAGCCCGAGATGGTGGGGACATCCACCAGCAGAGTGTTACTCCCTAACGGGGAGCAACAGGATTTTGCCCAAAGAAACTTGCCCGGAACAAACACACAAAAAGTCTGGAATAGGGTGTGATTATTTGGGGTGGGGGAAGTTGGGAGGTTTGTGTGATTTGCCTTGGTTAACTGTGGCTAACAGATGAGGCACAGAGAGACCTCTGAATGGCGCACTGAAGTGTGTGACCATGTGCGTGATCACAATGGGCCCTGGCATCTCTTCAGTTGACTGCAGCAAGTGACACCAATCTGGTATGAATACAACTAGGTTTCTGGCCGATGTAACAAGAGAAAATATAATGAGAGGAACATAGTGCTTATCATCATTGCATGCCATCAAGTTAATTCCGGCTTATGACGACCCTTTCTGGTGTTTCCTAGGTATAAAATACACAGATGTGGTTGACCCTTCCCTTCTTCTGGTGACTAGGACTGTGCAGCTTGCCCAAGGCCACCCAGGCTGGCTTTTCTCTTAAAACTGTGTTCAAGGCACAGTGGGAATCAAACTCTCAGCTTCTGGCTCCACAGGCAGATACGTCAACCACTGAGCTATCCAGCCAGTTGAGACCTATCAGTCATGATATCAATGACTTACCTCTTCTGAGACACGTTATACAGATACTTGCACATAATCGCTCAGCCTGGTGATTGTACAGGTTCTGTCTTCAGGCTGCTCATCCCTCTTCGGAGAGGGACAGGTGAAAGAGCAGCTGCCAGTGAAGGAAGATCAGAGAGAAAAGATTGGCTCGACATCTTGTTTCCAGCGCTCACATTATAATCACTTAATTTTCACAGGATTGTTGATCAATAGACACACTCAAGTGTTAAGTGCTTCCTTCCCTTTTCTATCTGATATGCAGATCATACTAAGCTAGGTTAATAACAGGGAACAAAATATGTGCAAGTGTTTCTGAATAGCCAACACAGCAGTAAATGAAAAACCATAAGGGGCAAGTAAATGTTATTTTGTTCTGCTGCGTAACAGCATGACTGGATCTGCTGGTGCACTAGATCCCTTAAATGAACGTTTGCCTGACTGGTTTGGCTTTTGTATAAAGAGTGAGACCATTAATGGTGGTGTATATTCTACGGTGATTCTGACTGACTGGTGTATTTTTGGTTATTTATAGTAATATGTAGCATTATTATGTATCCTAGGTTCTTTTTATGAAAGACAGCAGCATATAGATTTTGAATTAATAAACAAACACAAGTCTATCTAGCTCACCATTCTTTCCCCCCACATTGGCCAAGCAGAGATCTACACGTCGGACATGTGGAGTAAAATATCACCTGCACCGTGACAAGAGCATTGTGTTTTGGGAAGAAAGGGATTCATTGATTTAAAAAAAGGAGTTATTTTTGAAATTCTTCCCTGCTCAGTCTCTTTTTGTGAATGGCTCAAGGTGTTGCAACAAATACCTGATGTTTAAATGAGATTTAGAAAAGGAAGAGGCACATGAGATCATATCGCAAATATCCGCTGGCTACTCAAACGCACCAAAGAATTTCAGATCAGTATAGGATTTATAGACTGCAGCAAAGACTTTGACTGTGCAAATTGTGAGAAGCTATGGGTTGTTCTGAAATACATGGGTGTGCCTCAGCTCTTGATTGTCCAGCTGTGTAACTTCTATTGTGGACAGGAAACTACTGTTAGGACAGAATATAGGGAAACAAGGGTTTCTCAGAAGCAAAAATGTCAGACAAGGGAACATTATATCTCTGTCTGTTCAATCTATACACAGAATATATCATACAGAAAGCTGGACTAGATTCAGGTGAAGGTAAAAACTGGAGGAAGAAACATAAATAACTTAAGATTATACTATCTTACTGGCAGGAAACAGCAATGACTTGAAGTGACTTCTGATGAAAGAGAAAGAAGAAAGTGCCAAAGCAGGACAGCAGTTGAATATAAAGAAGAAGAAAAATTATGACTACAGAAGAACTACACAACTTGTTGACATTAAAAAAATTGGAATGTTAAAGATTTTGTATCCCTTGCTTCAATCATTCCAAATGTAGACTGCAGTAAGAAATCAGAAGACAGACTCAGAAGGACAGCATAGAAGAAATCTGAAAAGATCATCAAGTGTAAGGATGTGTCATTGGAGACCCAGACCAAGACCATCACCATGTATGGGAGTGAAGGTTGGACAATAAAGAAATCTGACTAGAAAAATATTGATACTTTTGAAAAAATGGTATTGGAGAACAGCTTTGCGGATACCCTGAGATGGCAGAAAGACGAACAAGTGGGTCCAAGATCAAATCAAACCTGAAGGCTTTGAACTCTGGAGGCAAAACTGAGAATGTCCTACTTTGGGTGCATCATGAGAAGGCAGGATTAGCTGGAAGAGACAATAATGCTACGAAAAGCTGAAGGCAGAAGGAAAAGAGGAACACCAAATATGGGATGGACAGACTCCCTAAAGGAAGCTACAGGCTTGAGTTTACAAGAGCTGAGCAGGTCTATTGAGGACAGGACATTCTGGAGATCACTCATAGGGTTGTCGTGAGTCAGAGGCAACTCAATGACATGTAACAACAGCAGTGAATGCTAGAAGGGATCGTATATAAACCATGTCAATGGCAGACAAAATAAAACACAAGGAAAATTAAACACTGTACAGTAGTTTCAGTCCAGACTGAGTTCTGCTTATAGTAAACCCACTGAAATCTACAGGACTTCGGTCAGTCATGATTAATTTGATTATTGATGCCAGTGGTCTGAAATGTGGACTATCAAACACTCCATGTTTGATTGGTTTTTTTAATGACAGTTTTTGTAGAATATAAAACACACTTTACATGTTCAGGTCAATCATCTGTACCTGGAGAAAGAAGTCTCGTTGTTTTTATTTATTTACAATATTTTTACCCCACCTTTCTCCTTGAAAAGGACCCAAGGCGGCTTACGACATTGAAAGACAAAATTTAAAGCTGAAAGCAATGAGTATATACAACGGTGGTTTACATCATTAAAGACAATATTTAAAGGTAAGAACAATGAGTATAAAGAGGCAGTTTACACCATTAAAAGGCAATTTTAAAGCTAAAAACAGTAAGTATACAAATACTGAAAACGAAGAAACAAATACCACTCTGAGAAATGGAAAACACGAGTAGCACTAGAAACCCAGTCAAAGCAGAACTGGGATTGATCCATGTTAAGATGGGTATTTTATCTTCAGGAAATCAAACAGAAGAGCTCATCTCTTGGGTTCACTTCGGGGTGGACATTAAGGTACAAGAAGGGCCCATCAGTGTGCCCCTGTTCACCCTGAGATTGGTGAATCCCATCTTCTTGTTTTGATGGGGGACTATTTCAAACATTGCTGTATTTTTTGCTCCATAAGACGCACTCTGCCCCCCCAAAAAAGTGGGAAGAAAAGTGTGTGCGTCTTATGGAGTGAATACTGTAAAAAATGGTGCAATTTGTTAATAACACAGTGTTTGGATCCCTCAAGTGGTCAGTAAAGAAAAGTGTGTGCGTCTTATGGAGTGAACACTATTAAAAATGGTGCAATTTGCTAATAACACAGTGTTTGGATCCCTCGAGCGGTCGGTATGATAATTACCCTTTTTTTACAACGCTGATCTGGAAGGACGCTGCCTCAAGCTGCTGGGACTAGGCAAAATGGTGGTGGCTTAACAGACCCCCCCCAGAGCTCATGCCACTGTCATATGTGGCTGGGCTCTGTACTCATTAGTAACACTGGTACTACAGGGCATCAGTTAGCAGCCCTGTAGGACCAGCGCCGCTTACTGGACAGCCAGATCACGTGACCAGCCAGACGCTGGGGGAAGCAGGGAGGAGAGCGCTGCAGAGGAAGGGAGAAGATTCGTCCAGATACACAGATACCATAATACAGAGGAATTCCTGGCTGGATTACTGGCTGGTGACATTAAGGGCACATATGGATGGCAGTATCAATTAAGGGGCACAATATGGATGACAATATCAATTAAAAATTAGGTGTGTCTTATGGTAAGGTGTGCCTTATGGAGCGAAAAATACGGTACTTCTTTACTTCAAACCAAAAGGCAGTTTTCTCTTGCGTGTGACCACTATACTGGAGGGCAAAAGACAACAAAGATATTTCCTTATCGTTTTCTGGAACTGTTCTTCAGATTTTACCAAAATTGCAGGCAGTTGTAAGACTCACGAAGGTCACCCAGAGTGGGCAAACATGTGGAGTAACAATTCATTGGGTTAGCCATTCTACAGTCACATCAACATTTACATTTTGTGCTTTGCTCAGAGTCCAAACATGTGCATCTCCTCAAGCAACACAGGTCCTCCTTTGTGAATCGAACTGTGAACTGTGGCTTCTGTGGTGCACAACAAGGCTATTCTTCCACCTGAAACTCTTTCCACATCCCGAACATTGATACGGTTTCTCTCCTGTGTGAGTTTTTTGATGATTAGTAAGAGTGCTGTGGTGCCTGAAGTTCTTTCCACACTCTGAGCATTTATATGGCTTCTCTCCTGTGTGGGTTCGCTGATGGGATGCAAGGTTACCCCTTTCCCTGAAGCTCTTTCCACACTGAATGCATTTATAGGGTTTCTCTTCCGTGTGGGTTTTTTGATGGGCAGTAAGGCTGCCGGTCTGTACGAAGCATTTTCCGCACTCTGAGCATTTATAAGGTTTCTCTCCGGTGTGTTTTCTTTGGTGGCTAGCAAGAGTATAGTTGTATCTGAAACTTTTCCCACACTCTGAGCATTTATAGGGTTTTTCTCGAAGGTGTACATTTTCGTGTTTAGCAAGCATCTGGCTGTGCTTGAAGCTTTTCCCGCACTCGGAGCATTTATAAGGTTTCTCTCTTGTGTGGGTATTCTGGTGGGTAATAAGGTTACTGCTTCGTCTAAATCTCTTTCCACAGACTGAGCATACATATGGCTTTTCCTCGGTATGAGTCCTCTGATGAGCCGCAAGGTTATCCCTTCGCTTGAAGCTTTTGCCGCAGTCCGAGCATTTATACGGCTTCTCCCCAGTGTGGGTTCTTTGATGATTAGCAAAAGTACTTTTGTATCTGAAGGCCTTTCCACACTCGGAGCATTGATACGGTTTTTCTCCTGCATTGGTACTTTTGCAGGAAGAAAAGCCAAGTTTTACACATTTCGAGTATTTATACGGTTTATCTCCTATGTGTATCCTTTTATGTTCCGAAAGGACACTGATGTAGCCGAAGCTCTTTCCGCACTCCGAACATGTATATGGCTTCTCTCCCGTGTGGGCACTCTGATGAGCCACAAGTTTATCCCTTCTCCTGAAGCTCTTTCCACACCTGGAGCACATATATGGTTTTATTCCCGTGTGTGTTCTCTGGTGAGCTGCAAGGTAAGCCCTCTGGCTGAAGCACTTGCCACATTCTGAGCACTGACATGGCTTGCCTGTTGTGTGGGTTCTCTCGTGGGAGGTCAGGTTGCTCTTCTGGCTGAAGTTCTTCCCACACACTGAGCATTTATAGGGTTTCTCTCCCGTGTGGGTCCTTTGGTGCTTCACCACACTACCACTGTGCCTGAAACTTTTCCCACACGCTGAGCACTCGTATGGTTTCTCGCCTGTGTGCATTCTTTGATGGGATATAAGGTTGTTGAGCTTACTGAAGCTCTTTCCACATTGAGAGCATGGATACGGTTTCTCTCCTGTGTGGGTTCTGAGATGAACAGTAAGACTATCCGTCCTTCTGAAGCTTTTTCCACATTCTGAGCATTTGTAGGGTTTCTCTCCTGTGTGGGTCCTGTGGTGTACAGTAAGATGTATCCTCTGTTTGAAATTCTTTCCACATTCTGCACATTTAAATTTGTCCTTCAGTTCACGCACTCTTGTAGCTAAGTTAATGCTTGATCTTTTAGTTATATTTTTGGCCCACTGGGGAAATGTCATTTTTTCCTTTCTGGCGTGACACTTTTCCATCCATGGGCCAACATCTTGAGAAGGAGGACGTTCCTCTCTCAGTCTTTGTTTTCCTTCCATTTTCTTTATCGGGTGTTCATCCTTCATATTGCTCTTTCTCCAGCAACCTGTAAGAGTCAACAGGGAAAGATGGCACCTTCAAATTAGGAAATAAAATAAATTAGAAGGAGGAAGAAAATGAAAGCAAACAGATGACTTTGCATTGTTGCTTGAGGCTGGAATGAAAATGCAAGTATGCTGCTACTCCACTAAGAATAAGTTTTTTCTGCCCATTGCATTGTACAGTGGTGCCTCGCTTGACGAGGATAATCCATTCCAGCGAAATCGCTGTAGAGCGAAATCCTCGTCAAGTGAAATAAAAAAGCCCATTGAAATGCATTGAAAACCAGTTCAATGCATTCCAATGGGCGAAAAACCTCAGCGTCCAGTGAAGATCCTCCAGGGTGGCCATTTTCCGATGTCTGTGCAGCGAAAAATCTGTCCTGAACACAGTGGGGAGCCATTTTGAACAGCCGGCGGCCATTTTGAAAACCCGACGATCAGCTGTTTTGATCGTAGTAATGTGAAGAATCGGTTCCCGAAGCAGGGAACCGATCGTCGTAAAGTGGATTTTGCCCATTAAAACATTGTTTTGCGATCACAATAGCGATCGCAAAAACATCATCATGAAGCAGATTTGTTGTCAAGCGGGGTCATTGTTAAGCGGGGCACCACTGTACTGGCATAAAAACTCAATAGAACTGATGGCACATGTTTTCTGCCACTCTTATGCCATACTTTTGGATGTAAGTCATAATTGGTATTGCTATTTTTGCTGTGTGCCATCAAGTCAGAACTGCTTTACAGCAACCCTAATAGGGTTTTCAGCGTGAGACCTTTAAGCAGTGCTTTTATCAGTTGCATAACCCCAGCGAGTTTCAATGACTAAGCAGGGATTCGAACCCAGATCTCCTGATTCCTAATTCATCATTCTATGCACTACATCACAGTGGGTACCCACAACTGGTACAATAACCTAAATAAAATAAGCCATGGGAAACAGCTGAGCAAAGGTATGTAATAAGCCTTTGGAAAGATAAACTGCGGTCCTGCACAAGATGGCAAGGTCAAATTATTGGGTTTAAATTCCAGTCTCTTACAGTATTATGTCATTGGTCACGGAAGCAAATTGTAGCTAAACAACAAGGTGCTGACTGCATGCCAGTCATGCTACTGGGCACCTTGTTAATTGGCTACAATTCACCAGCATAACTTATTTGATTTCAGGATGAAATCCTCATAAGATGCTGGCCAAGGACTAGTATGATTACAGAAAAGTTGAATGGCAATAAATAGTTCCAGCTTTATATATTTAATTTTGTTTCAAAGTACCATATTCCTTCAGCACTAGCCACTTTACTATTTGTCAATATATAACAATATGGGCCATCAAGTCAATTCTGATTTATAGCAACCCTTTTCAGAGTCTTCCTGGCAGAGGATACTCAGAAGTGGTTTCCACTTCCCTTCCTCTAGGGGTTACTTCTGAGACAGTGCAGCTTGCCCAAGGCCATCCAGGCTGGCTGTTCTCACAGGAGATAAAGTCCAAGAACAACTGGAGGGCCACAGTTCGACACCACTGCTCTAGGGGTTACTTCTGAGACAGTGCAGCTTGCCCAAGGCCACCCAGGCTGGCTGTTCTCACACGAGATACAGGCCATAAAACATTTTGAAAGTTTCTGCTGGCATAAAATGAATGATGTAACCTTTGGGGATGAATTGCCTCACTCATGTTAAAAATTGCTATAGATGTCATATGTTGTGTGGTGAGTTACACAACTCAGCACACAACAGATAACATGTGCTGTGGTTGAAGTCACTTGCCTCCGAAAGTTAACACTGTTTGTGTTAGGCTTGTGGGTGTAACTAACAGGATTTTGGCCAATGTACTCTATTGACAGAGTCCTCTAAACCCCGGATGCCACAACACACTGATTTTATCTCCAGCCTCTCTACCTGAAGTTGGCTGGATAGCTCAAGGAGACGGGTATCTGGCTGTGGAGCTGAGGCTAGGGGTTCAATTCCCCACTGTGCCTCCCAGGGAGAAGAGCCGGCCTGTGTAGCCTTGGACAAGCTACACAGTCCCAGGACACCACCACCACCACCCCGAAGAAGAAGGGAATGGGGAACCACTTCTGAGTATCATTTACCTGGAAAACCCGGATAAGGGTTGCAATGTCAGAATTAACTTCAAAGCATAGTTTTTCTAACTGTCTTAAACACACAAGATTTCAAACCTTGACACAAAAGTAGCCTAAATACAAGTATAGGCAAAATGGAAGCTACTGACACTCAATTTCTCATTATACATCAATGTTATTTCACCTCCCATTGTCAGATCTTACATCTAAATACTGTACAGTTTTTAATATTAGTGTTATATGCAAATGAATGCCCAAATTAAACAGTAGGATGATATAGGACCATAAAAATAATTGTATCCATATCTGAAGGACCTGGCATATTAATTTCTTTTGACGAGCTCAACAGTCTTGATTTGTTGATCTATAATTCTGCCAATATGTTTTTTCAAACCAATTCCTGTGTACCTGGTTGTTGCATGATATAATTTAAAAGACTTAGAAGCTCCTCATATGTTTGAATTCCTAATATTCTTGTCTGATCATATCATACACACAAACAACTATTTCCTACTGAGACATCAGTTCATAGAGCAAGTATGTCACCCTCATCCTGCCATACCAAAATTTATCCTCAGTAAGAAGAAAAGAGAGAGAGTTGCATTTTCAAGGCCTTGAGGCATCCAGTCCTGCTTTCAAAAGCAATCCTGTTCCATAGGCATATATAATTTAAATGTATGCCAGTGATGTTAATAGCAGTCATAAGAAGAAATTAGTGATTGTTGAGGGGATATAGTCAATCTGTGTTATGAATTATGTTTAATGTTCTATGCCAGGGGTCTCCAAACTTTTCAATATGAAGACCACATCATATATTTTACACATTTTGAGGGCCGAAGGGGGGAAGGGGACCCAAGTGATCCCCCACCCTCGCTGTCTTTGCAAAGACAACGGGGGTAGGAGATTACTTAGACCAGGCTTCATTCCTCTTCCTTTCCCCACTTGGGCATAGGAAGAGGAGCAAAGCCTGATCTAAGTGATTTTTGCGAAGACAGTGGGGGCAGGGGGGTTGCTTAGATCAGGCTTCGCTCCTCTCCCTATCCCCACTTGGGCATAGGAAGAGGAGAGAAGGGGAACCCAAGTGATTCCCTACTCCCACTGTCTTTGCAAACAACCACCTGGGTAAAGGTCTCCCTTGACATTTAGTCCAGTCGTGTCCGACTCTAGAGAGTGGTGCTTATTCCTGTTTCCAAGCCGTAGAGCCAGCATTTGTCTGAAGACAGTTTCTGTGGTCACGTGGCCAGCGCGACTAGACATGGAATGCTGTTACCTTCCCACTGAGGTGGTACCTATTTATCTACTCACATTTTTACATGCTTTCAAACTGCTAGGTTGGCGGGAGCTGGGACAAGCGATGGGAGTTCCCTCTGTCGCGTGGATTCGATCTTACGACTGCTGGTCTTCTGACCCTGCAGCACAGAGGCCTCTGCGGTTTAACCCGCAGCGCCGCCACGTCCCTAACAACCCCCTATGTCACCCTAAAGCCCCGCCCACCCAGGTATTGGTGATAAGAGGAGGCTTGACCCTTTGTCCTGCCTTGCAGGGGCGGCGCACCTGTCAAAAGTGATTTTGATGAATGCTAGGTAGTATTACTACTGAAGAAATGGGATGCATAGATGGTAAGGTTACTCGGCAGGGCGCTTACATGCTGCATGTTCCAGGATTAGAGACAGGACACATTTCAGCATGGGTTGCTGCTGCAGAAAACCAGCAGAAAAGAGTTACTGCAGTCAAGACTTCTCTCACAACCTAAGTTTGATCCCAACGGGCTCAGGTAGGCAGCTCAAGGTTGACTCAGCCTTCCATCCTTCTAAAGTCATTAAATTGAGTACCTAGCTTGTTGGGAGGTGTAGCCTGTATAATTGAATTGTAAACTGCCCAGAGAGATCTTTAAGCACAATGGGGCGAAATGTAAGGAAGGAATACAAGCACTCCTCACTTAATGACCAAGTTCCATTCTTACAACTACGTCATTAAGTGAACTGGTTGATAAGCAAGGAGCAATACTAGTGTATAAAGCAGTAATAAGTTACCAGCTGTTGAGAAAGAGTGTGGCAAAGATGCAAGAATGGATTTACGAGGGTTGTAAAGGGTCGTAAATCCAAGCGGAACAGGTACATTGTTAAGCAAGGAGTGCCTGTATTCCAGACCAAGCTTTGATATGAACAAGTAGGACTCCAGTTATTAGAATTGTTTCAGACCCAGGACATCCAGGAATTCAAACCCAGGACATCCCACCCTCCTAGAATTCTCTCCTGCTTTAAACCTTCCCTTACCTGATCTGGCTTTCCATGAACCATTTCCACTGCACCCGGACGAGGTCTTGGACAAGAACTGAGGGCCCCGCCATGCCCTGCGAGGGAAAGAAAGAAGGTCTGTTAATTCAGGATCAACGAGTGCATGCCAAAATTTGTCACCAAACTAAATCCCTTCCACCAGGAACTTTTATTTTTAAAAGAACTAATGAGAAAAACAGCAGAGGTTGTACGAATAAAATGAAACATTCATGGTCAACACCGTACATCTTAGCCCATGGGAGAGGATTGGTCATGGTTTTCCCAAAGGCCATGGCTAGATTCAACAGCCTTTGGGTAGAGCTAGGGAATTCCACTCCACTGTATGCTGGAAACAGGTGGTGGTGATAAGAAGAGGCTGACCATGGAATCAACCACCTGTGGGAGACTGGGCTTCCCTTTCCTGGAATCTCTGTCCATGATTTCCTTTTCCTTGCCTTGCTCCCTCTGGGTTACAACTTCCTGGCTACCAGACAATTTAACCAGAGAGAGGTGATTTATGTGCCTCTTGAATCTATCTTCAGACGTCCTTCTCCTGTGTGCTGGAGGCTCCATAATCCATTCCCCAGACCCAGGACATCCAGGAATTCAAACCCAGGACATCCCACCCTCCTAGAATTCTCTCCTGCTTTAAACCTTCCCTTACCTGATCTGGCTTTCCATGAACCATTTCCACTGCACCTGGAGGAGGTCTTGGACAAGAACTGAGGGCCCCGCCATCCCCTGCGAGGGAAAGAAAGGAGGTCTGTTGGTACTTCAGGATCAACGAGTGCATGGCAAAATTTGTCCCCAAACTAAATCCCTTCCACCAGGAACTTTTATTTTTAAAAGAACTAATGAGAAAAACAGCAGAGGTTGTACGAATAAAATGAAACATTCATGGTCAACACCGTACATCTTAGCCCATGGGAGAGGATTGGTCATGGTTTTCCCAAAGGCCATGGCTAGATCTAAGAGCTAGGGAATAGATTTCCACTGTATGCTGGAAACAGGTAGTGGTGATAAGAAGAGGCTGACCATGGAATCAACTACCTATGGGAGACTGGGCTTCCTTTTCCTGGAAGTCTTCTTGGGATCTCTGTCCATGATTTCCTTTTCCCTGCCTTGCTCCCTCTGGGTTACAACTTCCTGGCTACCAGATAATTTCACCTCTTGAATCTATCTTCAGACATCCTTCCCCTGCGTGCTGGAGGCTCCATCATCCATTCCCCCTTCTTGTGTGTCAGTCTGTGGTTAGAGAGAGATTTTTATTCTCTGCTCTATAGGGCTTCTTTCCTCCGCCTTCCCACATTTTGCTTCCTATTTGTTTGTGATTCATGCTGCTTTTCCACAAATTTTGCAATCACGGTGTATATTTTAATTCCTGCATGTTTAAGGAAAGCCCCATGGGAGATTGCTCTGCACAGTACAAATCTTAGATGCCCACCCCAATCTATGTCAAGATGTGGTATTGCCAAAGCTCAAAGAACTCTTACGGGTGCGTCTCAGGACACGTGTGCGTTCACATATGTGCTCTGAAAGTCCATGTGCTAGCGGGCAAACCCACCGGAAAAAAAGTCTGAGGTCAACACATGAGCCAAATCCCTGGAATAAAATACAGCACATTATGCTCTAGGCCAGGGGTTACCAACCTTGGGTGACCCAGGTGTTCTTGGACTACAACTCCCAGAAGCCATCCTCACTAGCTGTGCTGGCCAGGCTTTCTGGAAGTTGTAGTCCAAGAAGATCTGGGGAGCCAAGGTTGGGAACCACTCTTCTAGAAAGACACATTTAGCTCTGCGATTCTGTGATTTTAGGATATGAGCACAGGATACAGTTATGTTTGCATGTTGTACAGTTCTGTATAATTCAGTATGCTGGATGTATTTGCGAAGGCTTTCACGGCCGGGATCTAATGGTTCTTGTGGGTTTTTCGGGCTCTTTGGCCGTGTTCTGAAGGTTGTTCTTCCTAACATTTCGCCAGTCTCTGTGGCCGGCATCTTCAGAAGACAATACATTAGGTGAGAGCACAGAGTGCTGTCCTCTGAAGATGCCCATGGCCACAGAGACTGGCGAAACG